GGTTCGAATCCGTCGACTCCGTCTAGGCCAACCAGGCCTTCTTTCCTCCGAAGACGGTAAAGCTGGTACCAGTGTGGAGGATAAACACTGACTTGTACATCGGCTGGCCCCGCAAGTCATTGTATAGGCCACATCGCATTCAATAAGCCACTACGATTCTGAATGGAAGTAGAATGCGTGCCGCATCCCACAAAGGGATTGATCAACGGCGAAGACTTTATCCTTATCCTTTTATATCTTCCACCAATTTTTGTACCCTTCTTCTGAGAGCAGTTGTAATCGTGCAATTTGTTTTGAAACTGATTCTATGGGGCTTACACAGTTGTCATCGCTGCGAAAGCTGGAGCGTCTTTAGGGGGGGGCTGGCTTTGGCGCGGCTCCAGCCAATTCTTCATCATTTGTGGAAGCTGGCAAGCGACTATAATTGGTGGACGACAGGCTAGCGCCGCGCTGAATCCTGTACCTCTGAAACGTCAGCGTCCGCACCGAACAAGGCTGTACAAATACTAGGCAGCAGACATAGGGTGTATAAGGGACACCAGCAATGCGCTCTGCGCGGAAAACGTGCACAAGCTGTAATTATCGTGCACACCACTTGTGCATATCGTGCACAAGTCGTGCAATCGTACGGACACCGTACACAAGCACCATTACTATACCACAACTATTTCGTGCAAGTGCCGCTGAGTCAGAAAAACAACTCGCCCTTAATGCCTCTTTCGTTTCAGGCCGGCTTATCTCCATCGATGCATCGAGTGTCGAATGGCAGCGTCGCCTCGGGCGACAGTCGCCGTAATAGTATGGTAGACGCATGTGGACGATTCTGTAGTCAGCCGACAAATGGAGCACCTGAAGTAATTCACTGGAACCTTTTCCCTTTGGAATATTGATGAATATTTGAATATTTCAGTTACTGATAGCGTTATGCTACGATACAGATCACGGATGTCTTACAGTAGGTATAGAGCGAGGCTCGTCGCTTGGAGACAAGAACAGACCAACTGGTAGGTATTAATTATTTGGTTTTCGTACAAATAACATCTCGAAAACATGCTAGGAACTATCGCGCCTGTGCAGCCGCTCCGCGACCGCGCGCGTCACGAGCCTGTCATTTCAAATACACTGCTTTGCCAAGATAAATGCTAAACTTTAGAAAATTGCAGATACATTCATCAAAATCATTGCATTGGGTGAATTTGGCAATGAGTTATGGCGTCAGAAAACTGAAGTGGTGAAGGGATGCTCAGAACCGCAGTATGAACATTCTGCATCAATACAGGTGAACTATTTAAATATTGCAACAGCCCCTCCCAATTTATTCGGTTAGGTAGTGCCACTATTATTCTGGATTTTATCCTTTCCCTTACAATATACTGCTTGGCTAAATTCGAAGTGGTTGGGTCGCTAGTCATAAATATTTGGAGATATTGGCTGTGTCTGTCGCACACTCACTGCCCTCCCCCAGCCCTATCACTCCTTGACTTCCCCCAACTCTTCTAAATCTTTGGAGATAAACTGTACGCTTACCTCCGAGGACGATTGTTCCCATGATAGGAGCGTTCGGCTGTTCTCCTAGCTCTGGGCCACAAGGGCTGGATGCAAAAACGTGAAAACCCTTATTTGTTTCCGAAATTCCCGAACTTTTTTGTATAGATGTTGAACTCAGGCAGTAGACACATTGTGACCCCCTCCTAACGACCTAAACACGGCACCCCCATTGGGGCCTTTCAACAGCGTCTCGCCTTGGTCGAACAGCAAAAATGTAAAAGTAAAGTTGCAAAGGACGTCCAAAGCCCTTTTAAAATGATTTTTCTCTGTTATACAGAAACTTCCTGTCAAGTTCTGGAAGAAAAAGGGTGTTTTACTGGGTTTAGGGCTAACAGCACTGTCTTGAAGCAGTCAGTGGTAGTACCGTCTTTGCTGTTCAAACTTCGATTGGGCCAGAGCTGTGCGTTGGGTCCGGCTCCATCCTTTCTGATGCCATCGGACTTTCAGACGAAAACATGGAGCAGCTGAACGTGCGAAGTGTTCAGATTTGTCACTAGAGATCTCGGGCGCAGTTTATCGACGGTGGGGGGGGGCATTCTGCTTTCCATAGATGTGTCGACCCATCTAGGTAGCCTTTCCTCATGACACGTCGTTTGAATGCTTAGGATGGTGACTAGACGGAAGTGTTGCACACGCTTCTAGGGGAGATTGGTGGCTAACCTGGTTGCTCCAGGCGGGCGGTGGACGGGAGAGGGGTTGGCGACGGAGAGGGTTGTTGTAGTCGGGTGTGGGTGGGAGTGTGGTGTGTGGAAGGCTGCGAGAGCGGTGAGAGGAGGCGGGGAGAGTGGGGGTAGGCGGGTGAGCAAAATGCGGGGGGGGGGGCCCCGGAACGGGGCGGGCCGGGGCGGGTGGGGGGCCGAGAACGGGAGGGCGCCGGCAGGGGGGATGGGTCGAGTGTGGGTGGGCGGATGGAGGGTATGGGGGTGTTGGGGCTGGGGAACCCCGAGATGAATCCCAAATTTTTTCTGTAGGGAAAGGTTTGTACCTTGTGACCCTTGCCACAAGAATTCCCCTTTTTATATGTTTCTACATCATCCGAGAAGGGATGAGGGCGCTGGTGGGTGGAGGGCTGAGGGGGGGGGGTGTGTGTGTTTTCTGTGTCGTGAGGGATAGGGGATAAGCGCGTAAAGCGGTTCTAGTGGTTGGGCAGGGGGGGTGGGGTGGGGAGGGTGCGGTGGCCAGAGCGGCGGGGGGTGGGTGGATGGTAGTGTAGCTCACGGAATCGAAGTCTGGAGCTACGGAGGGGTGGCGGGGGGGGGGGGTGAAGGCGGAGGTACTTCAGGCGTGGGGGTACTCAGGCGTCGGCAAATGCTTGGATGGCTAGCGCTGGGATTGAACTCAAGTTCGCCGGATGCTCAAGAACACTGGGAACAGATGATACAGTTAACTGAATCTAAGTGAAGATCTATTAGATCAGTAGAGCGCTTCAATATATACTTTTTTCTGGTGGCCACACTTGCCCACTTTTCTCAAAGGCAATGCTCGCGATCAAGTTTACATAGTGTACCCATGAAATTGTAGCATTAAGAAATCGCCCAGTAGAGAAAGAAACGAAAAAGTCTTGGGTACACTCTGAACCTCCTTAACAGTAGAGCCGCGCTTGACGGGGGGAGGTGTGGTTGTGGGAGGGAGGGCGGGGCAAGGCGGCGAGAGGGTGTTGAAGGTCGAGGTGGATGGGTCGGGGACGTGCAACCAGATTCCCGACAAAGCGAGCAGAAAAGATCAATCTACGACGCTGCCAAGCAACGGCCGGATGTACACAGCCGAGTGTCCACTTGGTAAACCGTCGGTCTATGCAGGAGTGAAAAGTAATCGTGGTTGCGAATGGCTGTGCGAATAATCAGCGCGCTTCTGCGGTAGGCTGGTATTTATGCCTCGCGCGTTTCAGTAACAAATGGTATAAGTTGTTAGTGCGGACACAACCCGAAGCCGCCTGTCAAATGCCACCGGAGGTTTTTTCGCGGACAACATCCGGAAAACTCCTCCAGAGCTGCTTTCCGCGCAGTTCTATAGTAGCCAGAACGCGACGCCAGTAGTAAGCCGAAGTCACACCAGCCGCAGGTGTCCTGTCCGTCTCGGGACGAGATGTGCAGGCGATCCTATTCACAGTGATCTCTCCATACTTCATACTCACGGAATCGTTTCACAAGTGCAAGCAGTGCTTCCTCTGGCTTGGGATGCTTCGTGTTCCAAACCGGGGCCTTTTTAGAGCGTTGTAAACATCCTTCAATCTGCTGAGAACAGGCTATCGTATTTAGAACATCAAGGCCTATGAATTGAAAGTCTTCTGCCCTAATATGTCTTGAAGAAAAGTACACTTCTCACGCAATGATGCGCTACAAGCTCAAATGGCCGCTCTGTATATTGCTTTTTGGGAGAATGCAATGAATGAGGCGTGAAAATATTTCTTATTTAAATAAATTTGCTACCCTTCACACCTCATTTATACAAAAACATGCTCCCTATGTTGCATTTTCCACAAGAACATCCATGTTGCCAAAGCGGCGCAAGGGAACCCTAAGGCTGCGTTTATACTTTGCGGCAGCGTAGCGTACGCCAGCGGCAGTGCCGGGGAAAGGATAGATATCGATCTAGCTTCACCAGCGTCACCAGCGACGCTAGCGGCGTAGCGAGGGCACGGGAAGCATAGCTATCGCATCTAAGCTACACAGCGTTTCTCGAGCGTTTCTCCAGCGGCACCAGCGTTTTGCTAGCGCTTGCAGCGGCAGGGAGTAGAGACTATGTGGCCGTGAGAGACGCGGAATCGACGTGTATTGTAGAGACCATGTGGCCGTCGGAGACGCAGAAGCGATGTGCATTGTAGAGACTATGTGGCCGTCGAGACGCAGAAGCGGGTGCATGTGTAGAGACTACCTGTGGCCGTCGGAGAACCGCAGAAGGCGCATCGCTAGGCGGCACGTCTACGCCAGCGTGCCGCTGGTGACGCTGGTGAAGCTAGATCGATATGCATCCTCTCTTCGGCACTGCCGCTGGCGTACGCTGGAAGCGCTACGCTGCCGCAAAGTATAAACGCAGCCTTACTGTCGCATTACTAGCGCGTCGACGCTCGCTGTCGCAAAGCTTGAAAGCACTCTAACAGAGCTCCTACATGAAAGAGTATGGGACAGTCAGGAAGAAAAGGTTATGCAGGTCATCGCTGCCCATAAAGGCGCACAATCTGTGCGAAAAAATAGGCCAGACCTCTCAATGTGTGCGGACGATACGAAAGCGATTTGAGGCTGCGCTACTTTCAAAATGTGAAAAACGGCAAGAACTCCGCTAGAAGCTGACTAATTAGGCCCATGGACACCCCTTAGGCCCATGCCGACCCTCACCGGCTGCTAGCTACTAGCTAGTAGCCACTATGTTATCTTTCTCTATAACATTTCGGACTGCTTTTTCTGCTGCTTTTCTCCGCTAATCAGATACTTAGCACTTTTTTGTGCCTATTTGAGTTCCGTTTCCCGCAATTGCGGTCGCGAACTGCTTGACCTTTAACGCCAGAGGCGGGTTTGGACTCAGAATTTCAGGACATCAATGTTGGCCCATTAATCTTGCAAAAGGTAGTTTTGGAATTGGCTCGCATTCGCACCAGGGCCGAATTGATTAGGTACAAAGCGCAGCAGTAACTCGAATCAACTATTTAGAAAATATCGCGCGTACTGAATGAGTTTCGCGCGGCCACCCCTTCTGGACCCGCATCCCCAATTTCCTCTCTGTCACTGTGTACTCAAGAAGAAGCAGAAAGTTTCTGTGCCTTCGGATATTGTCTTTTTCAAAAATCACTAGTCAACGAGAAAATCGATAAATATAATTCAGGGCACCGGCATAACGGTCACGAAATGGCATCAAGTTCTTCCACCTGAGTGACCACCCATGTCCATGCTGATTCAGTCTCAAGGAAGCGGATATTTCGACTGCGTAGTCGCAATTCTAATTAACTTTGATGCATTTCAATAGCTAGCGCTATGTGTCTAGGGTCTCTTTTGTATTGTATTGTTCTATTGCGAAGGGTCTTCCAAGCGTATCTCTGCGCAACGGAGTATGAAGTAGGCGCATATTAAGAGCGCCATAATTCCTTCCATCTCATGAAAAAGGGGAATACAAAAATAAAATTAATCAAAACAAAAAGAATCCTTGCAATTCCATCATTTTTTCCGCCTCTACCATCTCAGCAACTATATATCATATGGCACCCGGAATGCTTTTTGAGCGCCTCATCTCTCTCACATGCCAGAAAATGGTCATGTTGTAAATTCTATAATGAAATTCGGTAATAATATCCCGTGTGTCTGATAGAGCGAGTTGTTTTTTGGCGTACCTGTAACCTAGAAGGGGTATTCAAAGGACTTCTTGTGCAGAGCTAAAATTACCGTAATGGGGATGAGGGTTTTTGCCTGAGCCAAGGGGTGAAGAAACACCTTTCTGGGACCAACCAATTATAAGAAGGGCAGTTCTACTCGGTAAAGGTCTGTCACGGTTTTGAACAAGAGATCCTCTGAATGCCCCCTCTTAGGTTACTAGCGTCCGTTTCCCTGTTGTTTATCGGTTTCCTGGATCTTGTGCGCATACCTAGTAATATTTATACGCTTCAAATTGCTTCCATGCATGTGAATTTTTCTTGTTCTTTTATTCTCAATCATTTCAAATCTTTTCCGTTTATTTGGAGAGCTGTGTGGTTTCATGAGCGCGTCGCGGTTCGCGTGCGTGTCCGTTCAAATAATAGATGCACTATATGTTTCACATATTAATTGTATATACGGATAAAGTTTTTGATCA